GGCCGGCCCTGGATATTAATTCTGTATTAGGATTTGCAAATATTTTCTCCCATTCCTTGGGTTGCCTTTTTACTCTGTTGATATTGTCTTTTGATGCAGAAAATTTAAAAATTTTCACAAAGCCCAATTTATCTATTTTTTTCTTTTGTTGCCTGTGCCTTTTATGTCATATCTAAGAAATGATTGCCAGATTCAGTGTCATGAACCTTCTGCCCTAAGTTTTCTTCTAGTTTTTGGTCCTACATTTAGGCCTTCGATCCATTTTGAGTTAATTGTTTATGGTGTTAGGTAAGAGTCCAACTTCATTCTTTTGCGTGTGAATACCCAGTTTTCCCAGCACCATTTGTTGAAAAGACTATCCTTTCTCATTGAATCAAGTTTATTTTTAATGTGCTTTTTCTTCCAGATTGATTGTTACCAGTTAACACATGGTTAACCTACCCTGCAAATGAAGACTGGACTTGAGGCAATACATAATTAGTTTTCTTCCTTTCTCTCTTTTTTGTGTTCCATCCTCTGCCAAGTGTTCTCTCTCTGTCAAGTACCTCCCATCATAATCTGACCCTCCCTCTTCCTCACCACTAAGGCATACTCCTAGTGTAAACCACTCCAGGAAGTCAGGTGGTTTTCTGACGTGTTCCTCATTGAGGCTGAGGGAAGGGCTGACCTACAGCCTGAGGAGGCTGGACAGCAGATCTGTTTGGGCAGGTTTAATTACTAGCCTTTTAAACGTGTGATAAATGTAACTGTATGAATCACAGTGCTTATAAAGGATTCAAAAACAACAGTTAAAAATCAGTATATAACCAGAGGGCAGCAGTCTAGGATTTGGGCAAGAGAAGGTCAAGGATGAGAAGGTATTCAGTGTGGGTTTTTATTTTTATTTTTTTAAGGAGCGTGGGGACGATACTCTTTAAACATTTTTCATTGATTAAAAAAAATTACAAACACTAGCTCATTGGAAAAACATCCAAGCAGTCCCAAAGTATAAAAAGTAAGAAGTGTAAGTCCCTTTTCTAGAATCCCTTTTTCCCCCTTTTTTTCTCTCCTGCCTGTCCCCTTGCCCTCCTCCCCCACCCTGTACCATTTCCCAGGAATGATCACTGTTCACGATGTGGCATGGGGGGTATGCATATTTAAGTGGAGTTTTGGGGGGTTTTTTAAAAGTAAAATTTCAAGTCAACAATTTTACAAAGAAAAAAATAATTTATAAACCGTGGCCTTTACTAAGCAAAGAGTGGAAGGAAGGTTAGGAGTGTATGGAAATGGCAAGCTGCTTTGGGAGCTCACTGCTCCCAAAGTGGGCCTAGTTGATCTAGCCTGGGCCCCGCCACCTCCCAGGGCTTGCGCTCTTCACCTCTGCTGCTGGTCTCAGGGAGCGCCTCTCCCTCCAGCTCTGCTGCTTCTCAAGCTTGCCCTTGAGTATTTCATGAGCTTATTAAAGGTGAATGGGATCGTTGCATTGATCTTGTTGGGATGGAGCTAGGGACAGGCTTAAATGCAACATAGATAAGAAGATAGACTGCAAAGTTCTGCATGAGAGAAGGAAACTAGTTGCTGTGCCTACTTCTGGTTGGAAAATTGGGCAAAGTTGAAAAGAGGAGGAAACGTTTGCAATGAACTTTGAAGGTATGGTGAGATTCTGATAATGGAGGCAAGGCGGGGAAAATGGAGGTCAGCACTTGGACTTTAAGAAAAGATACGGAGGCAGGAAAAAGTGAAATAAATGCTTTGTGGCTCATTTTTGTATGCATGGGAAAATGAGAAGAAATAAGGCTCCAAGGGGATTTGTGTGACGTTATGGAGGGTCTTAACTGCCAGACTGAGAGCTTATACTGAAGTTGACATGGCCTGGCGGGGAGAGGCAAGGAGCAAGGACACTAGAGCCCACCTGCTGGGGGGGTCTAACCCTGGCTCCATCCATCACTAGCTCTGGGTGTGTTCCTTACTTCTCTGTGTTTAGTTTCCTTTTCTTGTAAGTGGGTGGGAATGCTAGGACTCACCGTGTAAGGTGTTGGGAGGAGCGAGCAAATAAATTCACCTAAAGCCTGGCATGTGGCAAGCTCCCAGCAAATGTTGACAGTGACCAGATTGGAATCATCTAGGTGCCTGCTCAGTGGACATGAGAGGAGGAGCTTTTCATGATGTCACTTTTCGTGACCTTATATGAGGCAGCGAAGCAAGTTATAGACAAACAGCTGCCCGGAAGCTGCTCCTGAGCTAGTTTGTGAGTAAGTCTAGATTACTTGTGGTGTGGTGTATTCCATTTTAAATTTTGATTAGACGGAAACTTTGTCTTGTTGACTCCGTGAGATTCGTTCTGATTTCATAATCATTTAAATCTACTTACAAAAAATACAGGCTTTGGCAGCCATTAGTGAAACTAATTCATGCAGTTTTAAGGAGGTTATATTTTGACTCATAAAGGATTCTAGAGCTTGTGGAAAACCTATTTTCTCATTTACCTAATTGGTTAACAAGAGCTATTTTGTTAAAATGACACTAATTATTCAACGTTTCTTACTTTTTCCGCTTTACTTTTTTCTTAGCACTGTCACAGATCTTTCACATATCTCTTAATCTAAATTAAAGATGAGAAATTGCCTACAGAGAGTCATTTCCTCATGTGGGAATGGGCACTGAGGAGGAATTCAAGTTTCTTTTTAAGGCTACTCTAGTACATGTTCAGAGTTGATTATCATCAAAACCTTTCTTTTGAAACGCCAACGTTACGATAGAATTTCAGGCAGCTCAGATCAGGAACAATCCGTTTTTAGTTTTTAACCTTCGCTTCTAAGATATCTATATAGACATGTTTGGCTTTATTTTTTAAAGGTAGTTTAGAACTAAAAATTACAAGGCAGGGCTGGCCGGTGAGCTCAGTTGGTTAGATCACAGCCTTGTAACACCAAGGTCAGGGGTTTGGATCCCCCTACTGTCCAGCCGCACACACCCCCCCCCCCAAAAAAAAAGTTACAAGGCTGATTAGGAAGTCTGGGTACTTGTACCCTCAATTTTAGGACACGCTTCAGTTCAGCGCATTTTCAGGTACCTGTGATGTGCTGGGCTTGTGCTAGGAGCATGAGAGAAAAGTACAAGGCATTCCCGGGCCGCTGGAGGCTGCTGCTCGGTGGGGGAGGGGTGAGGATCACAGTAGGACACAGTGCACTGGGTTACGTCATGGCAGTGGCGATGACGAGAAGTTCTCCACGTGGTGTTTACCGTGAGCCAGGCACTGATCCACACACTTTTCAGATACCAGCTTATTTAATTTCTACAAGAGCAAGATGAATAATCCTATAATTATCCCTACATTACAGATGAGGAAAGTAAGGCACAGAGAGGTTAAGTCACTTCTCCACTGTCATGCAGCTAGTAAGTGGCAGAGCCGGGATTCGTATTCTCTCAGTCTGTCACCAGAGACTGTGCTACCCTGTGACAGAGGGGCAGGGGGATGGCACACAACTCAGCTGGGGGGTTCTGAAAATGTGGTGCCTCAGCAGGGTCTTTCAGAACAAATACTGGCTACATGGAAGATACATCACTTAATCATCTTGCTTGTGATCAGAAATTCTTAAAGGAGGTTTGCTTGTATTTTCTGGTTTTTTGGGTTTTTTGGTGGTGGGAGTGTGGCTGGCTGGTACCTGCTTGGTTTTTTTTGTTTGTTTGTTTTTGGGAAATCTGTTTCTTATAAAGCGAGGTTCAATTTTTATTTTTTATATATTATCATGAGGTGGATTTGTCATTTTTGTATTAGTATTAACCTTAAATTAACCATTTGCTTCAAAATAACTTTCTAGCATTTTCCAAAGGTTAAACAATACTCATAGGCATAGAAATTAGTAAATGGAAGGGCAGCGGAAAAGGAAATTTTTGGTGGATTGGTAGTTTCTTTTTTTCCTATCTTGCCCATTTTGTGAAGGGTATTTATTCTACCTTACCCGTTCTAAAATGTCCACATTCCTTCATAGTTGGTTGGGGCAAGCTATTGTTGAATAAGGGGATGGCCGTGATTTTTGCTCATATCTGAGGACTCAGTGTAAGGACTCTAACTAACATCATTGCGCCGGTCAGATCGTGCATTACAGTTGATCCCTTGGTGAGTGTGCATTGTTGGGGCTTTAGTCACTGACTTGATCGACACTAGATTGATAAGTAGGGCATTGGGGCCGGGCAGGAGGCGCTTGAAGGTCTCACTTCAGGAGCATTAAATCCTGCGTTTTCGGGCTGGCCCGTGGCTCACTCGGGAGAGTACGGTGCTGATAACACCAAGGCCACGGGTTCGGATCCCCTTACTGGTCATTTTTAAAAAAAAAAAAAAATCCTGCGTTTTCGGGCTGGCCCGTGGCTCACTCGGGAGAGTAAGGGGCTGATAACACCAAGGCCCCGGGGTCGGGTCCCCCTTCTTGTCCTTTTTAAAAAAAAAAAAAAATCCTGCGTTTTCGGGCTGGCCCGTGGCTCACTCGGGAGAGTAAGGGGCTGATAACACCAAGGCCCCGGGGTCGGGTCCCCCTTCTTGTCCTTTTTAAAAAAAAAAAAAAATCCTGCGTTTTCGGGCTGGCCCGTGGCTCACTCGGGAGAGTAAGGGGCTGATAACACCAAGGCCCCGGGGTCGGGTCCCCCTTCTTGTCCTTTTTAAAAAAAAAAAAAAAGCCTGCGTTTTCTCCCCTCCCTGCTGGTGTTGGGGTTGGTAGGTCCCTTCCACCTGATGGTAAGAGTATGAGCATCCTCCAGGCTCCTGGCAGGGGTCAAACTGGACGAGGAGATAGCTGACCTGACAAAACCCAAGCACTACACCTATTTTGAGTAGAGACACACTACCAGATTCGAGCTACGACCCTCCAAGGATGAGAGGCAGCATCGGAGTTGTTCCAGCAGCCACATGAGGCTCATCCTGTCCTGAGCCCCCGGGGAGACTGGCTGGAGCCAGGGAGGCGGCAGTGCTGCAGCCTGGTGGCCGGGGCAGGGGACAGCAGGTGCTCCCCTCCCCCACCCCCCTCCCCGGCCGCCCGCGCTGCTCGTCCGCACTGCAGCCCCAGTGTCCTGGAAGCGCATGGCCCCAGTAACACCAACTCAGAATTCTTTAGGATCTTGCAGCTCGAGGAAATCTTGTTCTCCAAAGTTCAGTGGTTTGATTCTGGGGAAGAACAGTACTAACATTTAGGAATATTCTTTCCATTTAGGTCTACGGAGTTAGATTCTAACTGGTCTTGGTTTCAGTTGCGATGCATGCAGGTTGGAGGAAATGCTAATGCGGTAAGTTCGTCTCAGACTCCTCATTTTCCTTCTCATTTAAATATTTCTTACACCAGTAAAGCAGTTCAAGCTTGCATGTTTGGGGGGCCTGTGGGATAAGGGAAAGAGCGTGGTGGGCTTTGGGGCTGGGTAGACCCAGCTGACTTGCTTATTCAGAAATCTGTTTTGTTTTGTTTTGTTTTCCTTTTTGTCTTTTTTTCGTGACCGGTAACGGGATCGCAACCCTCGGTGTCGCGCCCGCACCGCGCTCAGCCAGTGAGCGGACCGGTCTCTATATGGGATCCAAACCCTCGGCGGGAGCGCCGCCGCGCTCCCAAGCACCGCACTCAACCGAGTGCGCCACCGGGCTGGCCCCAAAAATCTGTTTAAGGGCCGGCCCGTGGCTCACTTTGGAGAGTGTGGTGCTGACAGCACCAAGGCCACAGGTTCAGATCCCATATAGGGATGGCCAGTTAGCTCACTTGGGAGAGTGTGGTGCTGACAACACCAAGTCAAGGGTTAAGATCCCCTTACTGGTCATCTTTAAAAAAAAAAAAAAAATTCTGATTTAGTGAAATCCGAATTGAAATTGATTGCTCATGAATTAAAGTATTGCTCATGTCCTGAGTAGAAAGTTCTTCCCAAATAACGTTCAGAATTACAGAGGCAGTTTAATGGAGAAATGGGGACTAGTTATTTCATTGTAATACAAGTCTTATATCTAGTTCTTCCGAAATATTAATGTTGCGTTTGTGGAGGGAGCTCCCTTTTTACAAAGAAAATTTTATTTTAGAATTTTTTATGACATTTAAATTATTTTGGGTTTTACTGGTATTTTTAAAAATTTCTCATTACATAAAGTAGTGGTTTTGGTCACCATGTTAGATTCAATGCATATTTCCATTAATCTGCATGCTTTCCTCTGTAGTCTTCCTTTTTCCATCAACACGGGTGTGCCACCAGTGACACCAATGCCAAGTACAACAGTCGTGCGGCTCAGCTCTATAGGGAGAAAATCAAGTCACTCGCCTACCAAGCCACACGGAAGCACGGCACTGATGTAAGTCCCAGGATGTTGGGCTGTCTCCTTAAGATGAATGTTCATTCTAGTGGAAAAAGTGGATTTTATTCCGAACAGTAAAACAGTGTACAATTACCGGTTCCCGCTCACTGGCTGAGCGAGGCGCGGGAGCAACACCGAGGGTAGCGATCCTGTTGCCGGTCCCCGGTCCGGTACGGGGGCAACACTGAGGGTTGCGATCCGTTGCCGGACACGGAAAAAGACAAAAAAAAAAACAGTGTACAATTGATTCTCCTTATTCAAGGTAGTTATGTACTGTAGATTCACCATGAATGCTGAATTAGTGAATGCTGAAACATCGCTCCTAGGAGAAATACAGGGTTAGGTTCCTAAAGCCTCTGGCTACATTTTCGTCATCCGATCAACACACAACCTCATTTAAGGTGTGTTTCTGTTTAAAGACACGTTATTTAATATACATTGTTGATTCATGAACACTGATCTCACAGCCAAGGGCTATGATGCTCGTCTAACATGTGTATTCCCTCCATAAGGCCCCTCTCAGCCTCCGTGTGCCCAGGAACACAAGACAGTCCTTCATCATGCACTTGGGGGCTGTTTAAATGTTGAAATCATCAATAAAAAGCCAAAAATGTGGAAAACATGGCCCTAAGTGTCCTGCAGAACGGACGCTCGTCTGCCCGTGTGAGAACAGAGACGAGAGGGCAGAGCGTGCCTCGTTTGGCCGCAGCTGGGAGTGCGGTTGGTGGCAGCTCATGTTTGGCTGCTCTACGTGTGTCTGGGAATGACCTTGAAGACACCATGAGCACTGATTTCGGGGTTTACAAGTGAATTGTAGCAAGTGGGTGAATTTGTAAATATGGAATCCGTGGACAATGAGGATTGACTGTGGTTTGGAACCTGCACTTAGACATGAAGTCCTTGATCTTCCCTTTTCAGAAATGGTTTGTGGATTTGCTATACTTGACTTCCTCAAGGTTTGGAAGCAAAATCTACGGGATTGATACATTATCAAACTGAGCTCAGAGGCCCCTGTAGCTTGTAACTAATTTTATAATAATGGAAAGTAGCAGTTTAGGAAACAGGTTTCTAGAAGGGGAGTGAGGACGGTGCAGTAGAGCCCTTTCAGGCCGCATGAAAGCTCAGCACCCCGTGTGGTTTCGTTCCAGCTGTGGCTTGACAGTTGTGCGCTTCCACCCTTGTCCCCTCCACCAAAGGAAGAAGACTTTTTTGCCTCTCATGTTTCTCCCGAGGTATGTATTATTATGTGTAATGTTTCATATAACTTTATTTTATTTATTTGTTTACTCTTTTTTTTTTTTTTTAAAGATTACTTTAAAAAAAGTAAGGGTAAGGGGATCTTAACCCTTGACTTGGTGTTGTCAGCACCGCACTCTCCCGAGTGAGCTGACCGGCCAGCCCTGCTTTATGTGATTTTAAAGAGTGCTTACTCTGACATATATACCTTATGAAATATATACCTTATAATATATACACCTTATATAATATATACCTTAAGAAAGGTATATATTTTAAATGTTTCAGTCAGGATACGGGCTAAGCTGCTATAACAAACAATCCTGAAATACAATCACTTAAACTAGATGGAAATTAATTTATCATCAGCAGTTAGAGGGGCGCTGTCCAGGGTTGACTGATGGATTCATTTTGCTGTTCTTAATATGTGGCTTCTGTCATCTCTGGGTCTAAAGTGGCTGCTCCACAACTTTTGTGTAAATCTGGAATTATTCCAAAATAAAAATTTTACTTAAAAAAAAAAAAAGAAGGGAAAATAAAAAATTTGAGCATTGAAACAGAGATATAAGAGTAGACATGTTTTAATATTATCCTTCCTTTCCACTAAGCAAGTACCCAGAAGGTAACTATTTAAATTTTTAGCTTTCGCCCCACCTTGATTGTTTTTTGGCTGTTTTCTTGCTCTGTGTACTAGTGACTTTTCTGTCCTTGCTTCAGGTGAGTGGCACAGCAAGGGCATCAGCACAGCCAGAAGAACCACCTTCTTTACCGCCAAGCACTGTGGAAACTGCTTCAGAAAATAACGGAGGTGGAGTCTTTAGAACTGTCCTGTAATGCTGTTCTGTGGTTCAATGAATGCTAGGAAACCTAAAAATTAGGATGTGGACCCATCTATAGTGACAGAAAGAGATAACCACAATAGATTATAAAGTGGAGAAGAAGATTACTGAACATGGATTATGATCTCATTTTTGCAAAAAAAAATAAAACATATACACACAGAAAAGATTCTGGAAGGCACACACCAGATTGTTAACTAGAGGATTAAATTACTGAGGATTTTTAATTTCTGCTTCATACAGTGTTGATGTGTCTGAACTTTTATAATGAGTATGTGTTACTTTCAAAATCAGAAAACAAGATTTCAATTTAAGAACTTATATAAATAGTTGATACCTAATGATTGACATATGATGACTTTTTTGTAGAATTATATTTATTATAAATACACTTATATCAATTGCTTACGTGTTAGAAATCACTGACATGAATAGTCAGTTCTTTCTGTTTTAAACTTGAGCATCTTTTGTTAGCCAGAATGTTAGTGTAAATTAACAACAAAAATGTAACTTTTGACAACTAAGTAGTGAGCCCATGGGGTGTTGTACCTAAAGAAGTGCTGGCTTGTATAAACTGAGCCTGGAACAACTTTAAGGAACTTAGTGTAATAGGAAAGACTAAAGTTACCAACCTTTAGACTGGGTGATAGTATTGAGAAAATTTCTGGCAAGGATTTTGCTGGAGGGTTGGAGAGTAAGTGGTATTTATTAAAAGATGAGTCCTGGTGGGCCGAGCCCGTGGCGCACTCGGGAGGGTGCGGCACTGGGAGCACAGCAGCGCTCCCGCCCGCGGGTTCGGATCCTATATGAGGATGACCGGTGCGCTCACAGCGCTCACTGGCTGAGCACGGTGCGGCCTGTCTCAAAAAGGACAAAAAAAAAAAAAATGAGTCCTGGGAGAGAAAGGCATTCAGCTCTATCTGAGAGTGGAGTCGTGGGGCCTGTGGTAAAGAAAAGGAGTCACTTCCTTTGTATTGACCTATAGGTGTAAGGGTGGGAATGTCCAAGATTTCCATCAAACAACAGGTTTTAGAATGCCGGTTTTTCATTTTATTGGTATAGGAGTGGGTCAGGATAGGAACATTTCCTGGAACACATCCTGGAGAACAATGCATTATTCTATAAGTGGAATGGGACAAGTGTCTGGCATTTTGGAAAAAAATATAAAACAAAAGAGAATTCCTTCTGTACTCTCTACACCAAACTAAATTCAGGTGGATCAAAGATTTGAATGAAAATGTGATTTTCATCCTAGAAGAAAACATGGGTAAAGCTTTTCTATAATCCTGGAGTGGGGAAGCCCTTCTGCACATATTCAAACTTTAGAAAAGGAAGAGATTGATAAATCTGACTACATACAAATTTAACATTTCTGTTCTGAAAAAGTACTTTAAAGTGAAGACAAATGATAAACATTTGCAATTCATATATAGACAAAAGGCTTGTTTCCTTAATATGCAAAGAACTCTGACATGGCTGTTTTTTGCATGATTTGCAACCTGTGATTTTTTTTTCCACATTCTTTTTTTTACTTATATGTCTTTAGATGCCTGCAAAGAAGACATTTGTACACCACTAACTGGAGTTTAGCTCTTTGATTTCTTAGCTTTACACTACACTGCAGGCCACACTGGCCCTTTGGTTCTTTTTTGTGTTTGCTGTTCTACTTGGAATGCGACTCTTGTGTTTGCCATTTTACATGGAATGCGACTCTCTCCTTTGATCAGCATGGGGCTGCCTCCTTATTGGAGTTTCAACTCCCAGTCCAGCCAGCAAGTGCTCCCAGCCACAGCTGCATTTATGGGGTTTGTCTACCTCATAGCACAGCACACCCCAGTTCTGGAAATTACCACGTCCATTAGTTTGCATGTCCCTTGTATACCCCTCCTCCGGGCTGTGATCTCCAGGGAGAGATTCTTTTTAAGATGAGGAACCTACCTGAGCCCTTGATGATTTACCATTATTTATAAAGAGAAGAGAAAAAATAATTCCAGCATTCTCCTAGCTAAGAGAACAGGTGTGTTATGTATCTTCTGGAAGTACAGATGATAATTTGACTATTGTTACTATTAAAATTTCTTAGCATAAAAGTCCTTTTGAGATTGAAGGTTACATGCCATAGGAGACGTGTAACCTCTGAAGTCCAGATGTCTCAGTTTGTTTTAGGAACAGCAACCTAAGTAACTAAACACAGAACAAAATTTCATTCTTGTAATCTACATTCTTAGCTGAAGAGTTTCTCCTAAAAGGTTTTTTTTTTTTTGTGACCAGTAAGGGGATCGCAACCCTTGGCTTGGTGTCGCCCGCACTGCGCTCAGCCAGTGAGCACACCGGTCATCCCTATATAGGATCCGAACCCGTGGCGGGAGTGCCACTGCGCTCCCAGCACCGCACTCTCCTGAGTGAGCCACGGGGTCGGCCCATCTCCTAAAAGGTTTTATTGTTTAGAATTTTGTTTCCTTTTACAACTGCAACAGTACTTTCCTCTCCTCTGTCCAGAATTTTTCTTAATCAGCTGCTAATTAGGGAACCCTGTTGTAGGGAGGTTCCACTTAGGAGAACATGTGTCAGCACTGGGTGACAAGGTGATTTTAAGGATTACAAAGTGGAAAGGAGAGAACAAGAACTTTAACAAGCAAAACATAGGGCGTGACATGCTCTGCCTGTATATTCTTGTTTTTGCTGTTCTCCAGTGCCCAGAGCAGGTCCTGCCCATAGTAGGTCATCAATAAATGTGTTGTCAGTTGTTTTCCTACAAAGTATTATTGTGGTCACTCATCATACTTTGCCTACTTAAATGCCTTTACTAGAGTTTATCTTTTTTTTTTTTTTTTTTTTAAAAAGATGACCGGTAAGGGGATCTTAACCCTTGACTTGGTGTTGTCAGGACCACACTCAGCCAGTGAGCGAACCGGCCATCCCTATATGGGATCCGAACCCGGGGCCTTGGTGTTATCAGCACCGCAGTCTCCCGAGTGAGCCACGGGCCGGCCCCTAGAGTTTATCTTTTAAATATTTATAAAAATGAAACAATTTCCTCTAAACCACTATTGGGCCTGACATTTTAAGAATAATAGCTTCATTGACATATAATTCACATACAATAAAGTCATCCTTTTTAAAGTATACAATTCAGTGGTTTTCAGTATATTTGCAAGGTTGTGGCACCATCACCACTGTCTAATTCAGAATATTTTCATCACTCAGTAAGAAACTACATACCCATTAGCAGTTACTTCCCATTTCTCTCTGCCCCTGGCGGCGACTAGTCTACGTTCTGTGTCTATGAATTTGCCTATTCAGGACATTTTCTATACATGGAATCATAGAATATGTGGTCTTTTATGACTGGCTTCTTGTGCTTATAATTTT